TCTCGGCTGTAATCTTACAGCTCACCTCTCTGCATTAATACCCAAAGTGCTACCACAGTCATGCGTGACATTTTCCTTCCGGCCAGAATTTCTCAAGGCAAACAAGATTCTATCTGCTGAAGATGAAATTTCCGTATGGTTACTTTGGGAGTTAGAAGTTGTTGTATGTATGGCTAATTCACATTTCTCCACTCGAACAAAATCTTGAGCAGCATTGAGTACAAGAAAACACACACACACACACACACACACAAACAGTGGCATAAAGTAAACATGTTACTGCTGTTTGGTGTAAAGTGCCATTGAGTCTGTTATAACTAATAGCACCCCTGAATAGGTTTTCCAAGGAGTAGCAGGTGGGTTTGAACCACTAACTTTGTGGTTAGCAATTCAATGCTTATCCTACAGCACCACACCAGGACTCCAAAGTAACCATAATGTGGTGTAAATACCCTGCAGAGTTAGTCTATCTGAGTGTCAGTCGAATTTTGTATGCGTTACAAAGATGTCATGAAATAGCATCCTGGGTATATATATTCTATTCCATCTCCTCAGTTACCATTTACAGGAGCTTTCATTGATTTAAAATTGACCAGAAGCTATACCATAGAACATACAGAATGGCATTTTAGCATAAACAGTCCTCAACCTTCTAGTGAGTTTATCAGTGTTTTCCAAATTTCAATTATTCCATGCCCTGCATATTACATTTGATTGCATACAAATTCAGTACAGGAACCAGCCAAGCATTCAAGGAAACCTATGTCACAAGAAAGGAGAAGAAAGAAAGTGCTTAGTTTATAACTAAAGAATGGTTCCTCTCTGTTTTAGCCTGTGGGTAGACATGCCCTATGGTTGACATGGGAGATACTCATCTGAGAAGATGAGCAATCCCTGCATCTGCCATGGACGTGTCCAGATTGGGGTGGTAAACTTGCATACTTGTTTAAACTCCCTTTTGAAGAAATGACTGAGGTCATGTCTTTTAAGCATCCTATTATAATCTCTCTGTGAAAGTTCAAGGTGAAAAGTTGAAGGCAAAAAGAACCTTTGATCCACCCACTCACCCAAAGGAAATACAAAGAAACTGAGATATTCTAATAGGACTATTTATGAGTCAACATGTCAAATTATCAGTCTTTAATACGTAGGAGTCCTGGTGTGGTAATGTAGGATAAGTACTCAACTGCAATGTCCCTTTGAACCACAAAGTTGGTGGTTCAAATCTATCAGCCACTTCTTGGAAACCCTATAGAGGGTTGCCATGAGTGGGAACCAACTAGACAGCACTTAACAACAACAAAAAAAAACATAAGCTTACTAAACACATGATAAAAACGTAAGCTTACTAAACACATGATAAAAACACATTTTTCAAAGCTGGGTTTCCCGTAAAACAGAATTTGTTCCCAAACACCCAGTACTATAGTGAAGACTGAAAAGAGAAGAAACTGAATGGCAATATTGGATCCTTTCACTGTAGAAAGGGATGGGAAAGCTGAGGAGTTGTTACATGCCAGGCATCACCAGAACAAAAATGATGGTCGTTTCCACCTAGCTCAGGTTTCTTTCTCTCTCTTTAAAAAAAGATATCATTTGTTTTTTTGTTGTTATTGAGAATATTCATAGCAGAATGTACACCAATTCTACCATTTCAATATGTACAATACAGTGGCACTGATTATATTATTTGAATTGTACAATCCATACCCTCCTCCTTTTCAGTTGTTCCTCCTCTATTAACAAAAACTCATTGCTCCTATGTAATCTTTTGAGTTACTGTTGTCAATTCGATCCCATGTAGATAGACCTTAAAAGAGCACAGTGTTCAAGGCAAACATTCTTTGCTAGTTACATTAAGTTACTGTTTGGTTAAAGAAGACTTCAGTGTATATTTTTGAATTAAGGTGTACAGATTATCTCAGGACAATATTTCAGGGGTTCATTTAGCCTCCATAGCTACAGCAAGTCTGCATTCCAAGAGAATTTGAAATTCTGTTCTGTATTTTCTCCATTTTTGACCAGAATTCTGCTATAAAATTGATCAAAATGTTCAGTAATAATAGTCAGGCACCATCTAGTTCTGGTCTCATGACAAAGACGGCAATGGTTCATGAAGGCAATTAGCCATATTCCTCCACCTATTCCTGATTCTTTTTGTTCCTCAGGTTTATCTCTTTTAGTGATAGTTGGTGGTGGTTATGTTCCATCAAGTGGGTTCCGAATCATAGCAACCCTGTATAGGGGTTCTGAGTGTATAAATCTTTATGAGAGTGGAAAACCTCATCTTTCTTCCTAAGAGTGACCGGTAGATTTGAACTGCTGATCTTGCAGTTAGCAGCCCGTAATCCACTACACTATCTCTTTTGTTGTTGTTCTTGTTGTTAAGTGCCACGGAGTTGGATCTGACCCATAGCAGCCCTGTATAGGGTTTCCAAGGAGTGACTGGTGAGTTTGAACCACCAACCTTACAGTTCAAACTGACCTTGTGGTCTAGGAGTGCTTATTCTGCAGCACCACACCGAACTCCTTATCTCTTTTGATGGTAGTTGTGTGTCATGGAGTCAGTTTGACTCATAGTGACCCATAGGATTTCCGAGGCTGTAAATCTTACCAGGAGCAGAAAACCTCATCTGTCTCCCATGGAACAGCTGGTAGTTTTGAACTGCTGACCTTGAGGTTAGCAGCCCGACTCATAACTACTATGCTACCAGAGCTCTTTTATCTCTTTTAATAGGAATACTTTTTTTTTCTAATTTTAATGAATTTTGATGGCAATCTTTCATAAAAGATGTGTTTTCCCTGCCTTTTGTTGTTGCTGTTGTTGTTGTTTAGTGCTGTCGAGTAAGTTCCGACCCATAGCGACCCTGTCTAGGGTTTCCGAGGAGCAGCTGGTGAGCTTGAACTGTCGACCTTGCAGTTCAAACGGCTTTGCAGTCTGGTGCATTAACCCACAGCGCCACACCCAGGACTCTTTTTTTTTTCTAATTTTAATGAATTTTGATGGCAATCTTTCATAAAAGATGTGTTCCCCTGCCTTTTAAGTGCCATTAAGTCGGTTCCAACTCATAGCAACACTATTTCCAAGGGGTAACTGGTGAGTTGGAAACACTGACCTTGCAGTTAGCAGTCCAGTGCTTATCTGACAGTGCCACATCAGGGCTCCTTAAGCAATGTTGTTGTTAAGTGTCATCAAGTCAGTTCCAACTCATAGGGATCCTGTATAGGGTTTCCACCTTAAACAATATAGTGCGTGTAATTTATAGAAATGCACCATAACATCATAACGCTTCAGTTGCTAATGAGATATACAGGACAACTATTCTTTCACTAAAAAGTCTCCTTGATGCTGCTTTTGTGAATCTAATGCTCAGCTCTGAGAATTTAAGGTGGAATTGACAGTTGCCTTGAAAGCAAAAAACAAAGCACAGATAACAAACTGGTTTAAAATGTAAGCTTAATACTATATATAATAATGAATAAACACACTGTGCTCTAAGTATAACTTCACAGTTAACCTATATATTAAATTGCAGATAGCTACATGGATGAATTTTATTTGTACATGTTCTCTGCATTTTCCAGAACCCTTTTTCTGTATTCTACATATTCTACATTTCTACCTTCTAAATAGTCTAAATGGAATCCTGATGTGGCACTGTAGGATAAGAACTGGACCACAAGATTGGTTTGCACTACAAGATCAGAAATTCAAACTCACCAGTTGCTCCTCAGAAATCCTATACAGGGTTGCTATGGGTCGGAATCGACTCGCCGGCACTTAACAACAAACAGTCTAAAATATCAAGGGTAAGGAATGCCCAACTCATGGGTTGTATAAGGCCCACAGAATTATTTGGTCTGGCCCTGCTGAGGTAACCACAATTCCAGCCATCACCTTGCTGTTGTTGCTATGTGCCGGCGAGTCGATTCCGACCCATAGCAGCCCTGTATAGTGTTTCTAAGGAGCAGCTGGTGAGCTTGAACCACTGACCTTACAGTTCAAATGACTTTGCAATCTGACACATTAGCCCACAGCGCCACACCAGGACTCCAACAATCATATTGTTGTTGTGAAGTGCCGTCGAGTCAGTTCTGATGTATAGCGACCCTGTATAGGGTTTCTAAGGAGCAGCTGGTGAGCTTGAACCGCTGACCTTGCAGTTCAAACTATCACATTAGGAGTGATTTAATTAAATGTTTGACCAAATATGTAGTGCTTTCAACTCAGTTCCAACCCATAGCAACCCTGTATAGGGTTTCCTAGGAGCAGCTGGTGAGCTTGAACTGCCAACCTGCAGTTCAAACCAGCTTTGCAGTCCAGCGCATTAACCCATAGCACCACACCAGGCTAATTTTTAAGTTGGTAATTTTATATGGCCCACAAATAATGTTATAAATTTTGGCAGAAAAAAAGTTTCCCCACCCCCGGACTCTATATGGTTACAGTTTTCAGAATTCTGACCACCTACTGAATAAAACATTGTTTGTATTGCAAATAGAATCAATGGCAAAGACAGACATTTTTATTCCACATCTCTATTTGGTGGTGGTGGTGTTAGGTGCTGTCGAGTCAGTTCGAATTCATACTGACTCTGTGCACAACAGAACTAAACTAAACTAAAGCCTGGTCTTGTGTTACTCTCACAATTGTTGATATGTTTGAGCCTTAAGTTTTATTTTAGCTTACCTATTTCTTCTCTATTCATTTTAAAGTCAAAATGAGGTGGATCCACTCTATTCATGAGGCCACACTAATTTTTTCCCCCACATATTAAAAGTAAAAGGTACAGCATAACCACCACCCCCACACTATTCATAATTGTAAATTCATTCATGATGAAGCATTAATTTTAAACCTGACTGCATGCACAGGGCCCTGCACAGCTACAAATGCAATCAGAAACCTCATAGCTACTTTTGATCATCTGCTGTGTCAGCCTCTGTCATAATGTATTTATGTGTGTGTATGTTTGTCTGTGTTCTCTTTACCCTTCTAGGTGGGCAGCATGCTGAAGACTCCCAAATTGCCTATTTGGTTGTGCAACATCAATGGAAATTATAGTGCCCTTTTTAGTACAAACATGCAGCTCTTATCAGACTGGAAAATGGAACGGCTCTTTGATCTGTACTTTTACAGCAGCCAGCCCTCACAGAAAAAGCCTGTGCATCTGACAATAGGTGAGCATTTCAGACACAGAGTGCTGTATTCTTTAATGTGCTCAAAGAGACACAGCTCTGGCTGCTGATGTTTAACAACTGTGTGCATATTCATGCTAGCTCTGCCAGAAAATGCTTAGTCTTAATTTCTGAAATGATGTTCATGGAGGAATCTCATGTGTCTAAGCCCAAGCATTGTAATGTGGGAATGCTAAATCTGCTTTAAATTGGAACTTGCTGTTGTTGTTATTAAGTGCCTTCGAGTCAATTCTGACCCATAGCAACCCTGTATAGGGTTTCCGAGGAGCAGCTGGTGAGCTTGAACCACCAACCTTGCAATTCAAATGGCTTTGAAGTCTGATGCATTAACCCACTGGGGGTTCCAAAAAACAACTTTTGGGTAAGAGAAAAATCAGAAGGTAAAACATCAGGTTTTAAAAAAGTCTTTCTCAAGGTCTAAGAAAACTATTAGAAAAACTATAGGGAGTAGGATATTCAATTGTCAATTTTAATTTAGAAACAAAACGTGAGATGGTCATCCTGTGATCAAAGTAACCAAATGATGGTGCATTTCTGTTCAAATCAGTTCAGAAACTATTTTGAGAGCCCTGGTGGCACTGGACTGCTCACCACAAGGTCGGAAGTTCAAACCCACAAATCACTATGCAGGAGAGAAATGAGGCTGTCTATCCCGATAAGGAGCTTGGTAGCATAGTGGTTATGATTTGGGCTGCTAACTTCAAGGTCAGCAGTTCGAAACTACCAGCGGTTCCACAGGAGAAAGATGAGGCGTTCTGCTCCCGTAAAGATTTACAGCCTCGGAAACCCTGTGCTATGAGTCTGAACCAACTCCACAGTCCTTAACAACAACAACAACATCCAGATTAAGATTTACAACCATGAAAATACTCTATAGGGTCACTAAGGGTCACAGAAACTTGATGGCAGTGGGTTGAGTTAGGTTTACTATGTGCTAGACACTGGGCTAGTCACTAAGACAACGATGACAGAAAAGGCGCCAAACCAAATCCCAAACCCACTGCGTTGAGTTGATGGTGACATATAACCTCCCTTGAAGACAGAGTAGAACTGCCCCATAGGGTTTCTAAGGTTGTAAATATATATAGAATCAGCCTGTCTCATCTTTCTCCTGTAGAGTTATGGGTTCAAACTACCTAACTTTACCCATTATGCCGCCCGGGCTTCTTGAAGATGCACAGTTGCAGCAAAATTTTAGAGGTTCCTTCCAGTCCCATGGGAAAGAAAACAACAAAACAGGTTATTCCCTTTCAATTGTAGCCATACAATTTTTACACTCATGATTAACCTTAAGGTAATTTTAACATGAACCCTTTGGACGACATAAAAGTGGTGAGATTAGGAGCTCATATTTGGTAGTTTTGAGTCAATTTATGGAGTCTCTTTCACATCAGATGCCTTGCATTTTGCATCATAGACTTGGCTAGTAACTTTTACTATTATTATATCTAAATTTGGAAATACATCTTAGCAACTGCTTTACCTGTGAAATTTAGTTATTTTCCTTTAATTATGGCAAATACATGCTAGTCTATTTAATTTAATGTGACAGTGACAATATGATCTTTAAAACATACTATTGTTTTTACCTCACCTCACTTCTTTAAGGAAAGCATCATTATTATTAACTTATATGCATCTAGTGCATTATGTTCTGGGAACAATACAGAAATCTTTACATATAGTGTTCCATTAAATTCTCCCAACAGTCATATGAGGTAGATACTATAATATATATATTTACAAATATGGTAACTGAGGGAACCAATTAAATAATTATTAAATGAATGAATGAGGCTTGCTCATGTTGAATACCTTCTTAAATGTCACACAATTTATTTGAGACAAACATAGGTCTTGGACCCAGATCTTGACTACCTCACTAGAATGCCTTTCCCTCCACTAAAAAAAAATAAAAATAAATGTACTCTAAGAAAATAATAAACAATGGTGTGATTTTCCTTTGTCTGTATTTGATGGCAACATTCCATGACTTATAACTGGCTCTATGTGTCACATCATGAGGCCATAAGTTCATTACACAACTTGTCAACATTCACATCCCACAATACACAGCAACCCAGTTACCACAGACTTATTTTGCAAGGAGTATTTCAACATACCCTCTACTGGAATCCCCTTGTGCATAACCATTTCTAGGAACACAGCTTGCTGAGTCAACTGCTGCCTACCCTTTTTCCTTATTATTGGCCTGACTTCTAGAATGGTATACATAGACTTGGAACTAAGTGGCAGGTATTCCTCCCTCAGATACTCACTCCCATCACTGGGAAAAGGAGCAACATGAAAATAAATATGGACCAGAACGACGGTTTTCTCCAGTGGAGATGACAATCAGAACAAAATGGAGAGAGGCCACTATCAACTGGAATGGGAGTGTCCCCTTTTTCTAAAGAAACCAGGATGTGCAAAGAGTCTGAAGCACCAGAACCATATGTTGGGATTCAAAAGCCTAACTTAGAGGGAGACCATTTCATTTCTACATTCCACAACCATTAGCCCCACCAAAAAATATCAACATCAGTGTGTTTTTTGTTTTTAATTGTGTTTTTTTTTTTATAGATTAAGCCATCTATAGTTGCTATAAGTATTATTTTAGGAGAAACATGGACCTTCATAATGTGTATAAATGTTCCAGCTCTGCATGGACTGATTCCTTTATTTTATTTTATTTTATTAGCTTTCTACTGTGAATTGAGTGATAGTTTACGTGGGGGAACATCAATTTTACACTCATTCTATTGTATTTCATTTTATTTCAATGATTGCAGTCCACTCCGTGCATCATCATTAAACAGTATTTGCTTCTATTCCCTTTTTTGTTTTGTTTTGTTTGGATGTACACAAAAACACTCAGGAATATATTATCATTTAAACAACCAAAGGGCACATTCTGTAAGCCTGCCTTCTGGTCACCAGCACACAGTCTTTCTCTTTCCATGTGTCTAAAATCTTCAGTTACTCTATCTCGCCATGTCCTCATCTCTGCCTCCATCTCTGGTGTCATTACTGCTTCTCTGGATAGAGTACCACATTCCTCTCATGCTCTTCTCCCTTGATGGTCCTAGGGTCCTATGTTCCTGGACTGTAAGATTAACTACTCCCCCCTTTTTGTTACAAAACCTTTACAGTTGTGACAGTCACAATTAGTCATGATAACAATTATTCACTATTGAATCATAAGAATCATATCCCCATATCTTTTCACCAGGCCCATCTAGACAAGTTTAAAATGATTCAGTGGGGAGTCTACCTTCCTCCACACACTCTGAAACTAAACTCCCTCTTGAAAATTTGTAATCCAGTCACTTCATGCTTTCATAGCTCCCCTATTTTAGGTAGCCAATGTCTAAGTTGTCCGTCCCTATCAACCCTGTGTACAGAGGGGATAAGACTGATCCTTGATGTGAAAATTCCTTCCTAGTCAGTTGGTATTTTGAGCTACTATATCCATAAGTATAGGACAAGTTCATCAAATTGTAGCCGTTTACACTTATTTCCTTTATCAAAATTTGTTTATCCTCCTCCAGTCTAGATCTGATCATCAAACCACTGAAGCTAGGTCAAATGGGCCTTCATTTTATTTTAAATGAATATTAATCTCTATGCTGTATTATTTCCAAATTATTCTTTTCTTGGTATCACTGTCCCCAAGGATTATGGTAGCAGGCTTCTAGCTTTCATTTTTTCATTTGAGGATGAAGTCATCAGTAATACATCATCAGATTTTTAGTTATGGCAAGGACTCAAGTTTTCTCAAAGACTTCCTGGTACAGAGTGCATTCCTTTCCAAGGATGCATTTCACATGCCCACATTTTAATTGTCATTAAAATAGTAAGTTGGCTTCTTTGGGGCTGAAATGGGGTTATTCATGGTAGGTTGTCATCTAAAGTACTTGATATGTGGGTTAAAGTAGTCAAAATGAGAAGTTAGAATGAGATAATATTTTATCATTGTTCAATGAGAAAACAATACTTTTTAGAATATAATTTTTTCCTGTCCTGTTAAACGCCTACTTTTTTTTTTTTTTTTCTGAAGAGACACAGGGTAGGCACATACTCTTTCTAAAAAAAGCACATGACAATAATCTAGACATTTTACCTACCCACCTCACTGGTCTACCAATTCACAGACTTTGCATTTTGTATCTCAAGACAAAGGTTAGTTTTCAAAGAACAGCTTTGCTGCACTCATTTTTAAAATTAATTTGTTAAATGTATTTTCAGTTGGCTCAAAAAATAAAAACTGTTTTGACTTAAGGAGGCTGAAGAAAATGAAACTTCAAGGTGAACAATAAATTATGTCAAAAAGAGAAACCCATTTGGCTCAGATGGCTGAGTACAGTATTTATGTAATTGGTCTCCACTTGTCTGCCAGTTTGTTGAACTGTGGTGGCTTGTGTGTTGCTGTGATTCTGGAAGCTATGCCATGGGTAATTTAAATACCAGCAGGAATACCCACAGGGGACAGGTTTCAGCTGAGCTTCCAGGTGAAGGCAGACTAGGAAGAAGGAGAGATGGACTGCTTCTGAAGCATTAGTCACTAAAAGCCTCATGAATAGCAGTGGAACACTGTCAGCACCAGAATATTGAATAATGAAACATGTTGAAGAGCACCAGAATATTGTCAGATATAGTGCCAGAAGATGATCCCCTCAGATTAGACGGGACTCAAAATAAGACTGGGGAAGAGCTGCTGCCTTAAGTAGAGTTGACTGTGATGACACAAATGGAATAAAGCCTTCAGAACTTCCATTTGCTAATAGGGCACATCTCAAAATGAAGAGAAACAGCTGTAAGCATCCATTAATATCCAGAACATGGAATGTACAAAGTATGAATCAAGTAAAATTGGAAATTGTCAAAAAGAAATGGAACATATGAACATAGATGTCCTAGGCATTATTAATGAGCTGAAATAGACAGACATTGGCCATTTTCAATCTGACAATTGCAGGGTTTAATATTCTGGGAATGATAAAATAGATGAGGAATGGCATCACATTCATCATCAAAAATGACATATCAAGATCTGTCTTGAAGTACAACACCATACACCTACAAGGAAGACCAGTTAATACCACTATTATTCAAATTTATGCACCAACCACTAAAGCCAGTTATGACAAAATTGAAGAATTCTATCAACTTCTTCAGTATGAAATTTATCAAATATGCAATCATGATGTATTGATAATTACTGACAATTAGAAAGCAAAGGTTGAAAACAAAGAAAAAGGATCAGTAGTTGGAAAATATGGCCTTAGTGATAGAAGCAATGCTGGAGATCGAATGATAGAATTTTGTAAAATCAACAGTTTCTTCATTGCAAATACATTTTTTTTGAAACAACATAAGTGACTATACACATGGATTCACCAGATGGATTACACAGAATCAAATTGGAATCAAATAGACTACAACTGTAGAAAGAGATGGTGGAAAAGCTCCATTTCATCAGCCAAAACAAGGCCAGGAGCAGACTGTTGAACAGACTATCTATTGCTCATATGCAAATTCAGGCTGAAGAGGAAGAAAATTAAAACAAGTCCACGAAAGCCAAACTATGACTTTGAACATAATCCACATGAATTCAGACATATCCCATCTGAAGAACAGATTTGATTCATTAGACACTAAAGAGAGAAGACCAGAAGAGTTGTGGGATAGCATCAAGAACGTCATACAGGAAGAGAGAAAAGAATCATCAAGACAATAAGAAAGCAGGAAAAGACCGAATTGGATGTCAGAAGAGACTATGAACCTTGCTATCCAGGATAGAGATGCTAAAGCAAATGGAAGAAATGAGGAGGCAAAAGAGCTGAATAGAAAATTTCAAAAGGCAGTTCAAGAAGACAAAGTAAAATACTACAATGACATGTGCAAAGACCTGCAGTTAGAAAACCAAAAGAGAAGAACATACTCAGCATTTCTCAATCTAAAGGAACTGGAGAAAAAACTCAAGCCTCAACTTGCAGTATTAAAGGCTTCCCTGATATAGCGCTGTGGGCTAATGCGTCAGACTGCAAAGTTGTTTGTACTGCGAAGTCGGTGGTTCAAGCTCATCAGGTGCTCCTTGGAAACCCTATACAGGGTTGCTATGGGTCAGAATCGACTTGACGGCACTGAATGACAACGATGACAATGATGGGTAAAATATTGAATGATGCAGAAAGCATCAAAAGAAGATGGAAGGAATACACAGAGTTGTACCATATGAGGTAGCATATGATCAAGAGCCAATGATACTGAAGTAAGAAATCCATGGTTCATTGAAGGCATTGGCAAAGAACTAGGCTCTTGAAATTGATGGAATATAAATTGAAATATTTCAACAAACTAATGTGGCACTGGAGGCACTCACTCATCTATGCCAAGAAATTTGGAGGACAACAACCTAGCCAACTGACTGGAAGAGATCCATTATTTGTGCCCATTGGAATGTGGAAATCATCAGGCAATATCACTGATATCACATGCAAGTAAAACTTTGCTAAAGATAATACAAAAATGGCTGTAAGCATACACTGCCAGAGAACTTCCCGCGGTTCAGGCTGGATCCAGAAGAGACGTGGAAAGAGGGATATCATTGTTGATGTCTGATGGATCTTCGCTGAAAGCAGAGAATAACAGAAAGATGTTTTCCTGTGCCTTATTGACTACACAAAGCCTTTTGAGTGTGTGGATCATGACAAGCTATGGAAAATATTGCAGAGAATGAGTATTCTGGAACACTTAATTGTGCCCATGAGAAACTTGTACATAGATCAAGAGCCAGTTGTTCAAACAGAACAAGGGAACATCGAATGGTTTAAAATTAGGAAAACTGTGTACCAGCGTTGTATTCTTTCACCGTAGTTATTCAATATGTATGCTGAGCAAATAGTTGAAGAAGCAGATTGAATGTAGAAAAATGAGGCATCAGGACTGGAGGAAGACTCATTAACAACCTATGATATGCAGATGATACAACCTTGCTTGCTGAAAGCAAAGAGGACTAAAAATACTTACTGATGAAGATCAAAGACCACAACCTTCAATATGGGTTGAATCCAATGTAAAGAAAACAAAAATCCTCACCATTGGACCAATAAGTAACATCAAGATAAATGGAGAAAAGATTGAAGTCATCAAAGACTTCTTTTTTTTTTTTTTTTTTGATCAATCATCAACTCTCATGGAATCAGCAGTCAAGAAATTAAACAATGTATTGAATTAGACAAATCTGCTGCACAAAAACTCTTTACAGTGTTGAAGAGCAAAGATGTCAGTTTGAGGACTAAGGTGCACCTGGCTCAAGTAATGGTATTTACAATAACCTCATATGCATATGAAATTTGGACAATGAATAAGGAAGACCATAGAAGAAATGATGCATTTGAGTTATCATGTTGGAGGAGAATGTTAATAGTACCATGGACTGCCAAAAGAACAAACCAATCTGTGTTGTAAGAAATACAGTCACAATGCTCCTTGGAAGCTAAGATGGCCAGACTTCATCTCTTATGCTTCAGCTATATATATTATCAGGTGGAACCAGTTCCAGGAGAAGGACATTATGTTTGGT